ATATATATATATACATTCTTATTGCGTTATTTTTTAATGGCAGATCCTTTGGATTAATTTATTTAATATTTGACACCAAAATTATTTTTATAAATTAGATCTTAACAATGTTAATATTAAAATCCTAAATCTAAATTTCTAATTTCTTTTATGTTCAATTTATTTATAATCCTTTTATCAATTAATAATTAATTTTTGTGACAACTATATATCAAATGTACAGTATATTGCATTGTACAAACAACAAATAATATCAAATATTTTTCTATCATGTGCGTTTTGATCGTGTAAATGTATTAATAAAATAAAAATAATGGTAACAAATAAAACTCATGCAGCAAATTAATACAAATCTATTTTATTCAAATAAAATAAAGATTATAAAGTAAATAAACCAACATCCAGAAATTGAATAACCCATCTGAAAAAAGGAAAAAATCATGTATTTTTTAAATATTTTGCTGAAAATATATTCTTGAGAACACAACGCTAAATAAGTGCGATAATAAAATAAGCAGAAAATAAAACATAAGCGAGAAACTCATTGCCATATAAAAACTTTGTATTATAAAGTCAGTGAAGTAGAATAACATAATTGCATCTACTATTCTAATTATCGGACGATACTAATGCTGTATTAGATCCGACGTATCATGGATTTAAGCTCTAGTTATTGCTTTGTATACACGTATTTTAAGAAGAAAAGAATATATAATGGCGGCTACCTATCATGTCGATAGATAAAAGTTAGTTTTGATATAATCAATATTTATATACTTATATTGACCAATTATTTTCATTCGTAACTGCATCCTAAAAAGAAATTGTGTATATTAAGTGCATATACGTATTTTAATTGCTTATATTTAATTTATTGCTATACAAGGGACACGATAAATCTCATCTGTTGATATTGTAATTTAGAAACGATTATAGTACTCACTTTTAATCGGAATAATATATCAGCGATTATAAAATATAAATTAATTTTTCAACAGCGCGATATCATCACAGCATTATTCAAAAAAATCCTTTTCGGATTTAATCTTGGCAAAATTCGAGTATTTTGAAAAAAAAATTTTTCTATATATAGTAACATATCATATTTACTGTTACTATATATAATTACACATAATTTTATATTCTCTCTTTTAAT